GTTAAGTGTCTATTAACAGATCAAGGAAGACGCAAATGTTAATCGTTTCACCCAGGCCTGCCCCTCCCCGCAAAGTAAGAACTGCCTACCCACAAGGGGTGGGGGTACCCTTGCCCCCTCCGATCACCAGCTTTCTTCCCTCCTCACCCCCTAGGACTTGGGCGCCACAGAAATGAAGTCAGTGATCATTTATTCACCAAAGGGAATGAACAGTGGTCTCACCATCTAGTTTTCAAAGGAGGTGCTTATGGTCCTAAGGGAATTTGTCACCCAGTGAAAGGGGGACCCCCCCCCCGGGCAAAAGCAGGTGCCAGCCACACCTCTGCTGTTGATGCCTGTGGAAGAATTGTGCTAAACCGATTTGAAAATAACTATAGGAAGGCGTGGCCATTTTCCCAGTTGCAGAAATGGTTTTCTTTCGATTACTCAAATATACAATAAAACTCTGTAATGAAACAGGAATTTGATCTTGAAACTAGTAAGAGTCACAGGTGACTTTCTTTTGCAGACCCAAAGCTGAAGTAGAAAATAGAGTATGCCAGTAATTTATCACTCTGTGTATTTTAAGTTTACAGTTTTATATTAGTCCTGGAAAAGAAGGCACAATAGTTTTTGACACCGGACCAGAAGAACAAATCTATAAAGATAAAAACGGACAGTTAACAGTGGTGAGTGGCCGTGTCTGGGGAGGGGGAGGTGTAAGCAGTTTTAAATAAGACTATAGGTTAAAATTCTGCCAATTTCAGTCCTCCTGTAGATTGACCAGAATCTTAATCTAGTTTATTTCTCCCTCTGTCCCTGATTCTACGTTGAAAAATAGGAAGGAGTGGGTACTAGAGGTGTAGATTCAAACACTGAATGAAAAGGAGAACAGTTTACTCACATTTGTCAGTGAACCAGAAGCTGACATTAAACTTTTCACACTATTAAATGTCAAAGCCCCTCTTCACTGGATGTCAAAGGCCTCAACGCCCTATCACGTGGTTCTCAAGTGAGTCGCCACGGGGGAAACTCCTGGCGAGCTTCGAAAAATACCAGTGTGTGTGTCTCCCCCGACCCGCTCCCCGACACCATGACGTAACTGGGTGGGGGTGAGGCCTGGGCTCTGGAAAACAAGGATCCCAGGACTGAGGAGGAGAGGTTTGGGAACCAGGCGCATCTTAAGAAGTCAAGCCTGAGTGCTCGGCGCTTTGCCCTCCCTAGCAAGTCTGATCCAATTCTGCTGGCAAATGACAAACTGAAAGCTAAGGGGGCTGAATCTTTAAAACGTGGTTTGTAGCAAATTAATTATGAATACTTGGTGTATATATATATATATATATATATATATATATATATACAAACTAAAAAATGGTCTAACAACATGGACTGTCTCATACACATTTAACGATGAAATTGTTTTGTGGACAAAGACACGTAATTGCCCCCAAACACAGGTAACTCCTTTGGGGACAAGTTAAAATACTGAAGCATGATTTTTAATGTAAAGTATAAGGTGACTTTTCAGTTTACATGCTGTCTTAAAACTTACCCCCATTCCTCCCTGGCTGGCTCAGGCTGAAGCTGAGGCCTCAGTGAGCCCACTTCTGGACGTGGCTTGTCTCACGGGAGGTGGGGCAGGAGACGGTGTGGGTGACGGGGCTTGGCTGCTCGCAGCTTGTCCATGTTCCCCTCAACCATGCAGGCGGCTGCACCGCTCACTGCCTCCTCCTGAGTGAGAGGAGAGACCTCTAAACCTCAGCGTGTACCTTCCCCAGGTGTCGGTCCGCATGAAGTCCTGAGGGAGGATGACGTCTGATCTCTCCCATCGCCGTTTCTGCTGCAACTGAGGAAAGCACCCAGGAAGCTCGAATTTGGTCCAGTTAGCGACACCTTCAAGCAAAGGTTCCAGCAGCTCTAGGAAAAGGATCGTCCCTGAAGAAGCAGAGTGACATCTTATGCCAAAGGCCAAACCCTCAGGTGTTCTGTCGCACTACAGTTCTCTTTAGGGAGCCAGACTCAAGTCACCCAAGGGGGTGATTTTGAACATCCCCAATGGGACCTACACTTGACGGGCACTTGAATGTGTCAGTATGGGGGGATGACAGGTTCTCTTTGTCATGCCGCCCCGAGGCACAATGAAGTATTATATACGTGGCCTGAGAGCATAAAGCTGCAAAATCTGAATTTTGCTTTAAATACATGGAACTCAGAAACATACCCAATTCCTTCACGGCTTTAGGTTCCACGTGGTGAGGTGTAGCTCTCCCCACCCCAAACCTGCAGTCGGAGGCAACAGCAGCCGACTGCTGTTTCACAAGCCCAGCAGCATTTCCACCCAAGACTTCCTTCCAGTGTTTGAGTTCAAACACTACGGAAAATGGGCTCTCTGCTCTGCTCTCTTTCCTGTGAACTGCACTGCAGTTCAGTGGCTGGACTGTGCTGGGCGTTTCTGAAAAGACCCAGAAAAACAGATTTGAGTAGAAGCGTTATATGACTTTTATTTTACATATGTCCACAGATGCTTGTACAACACACAGTGACTACTTCTGAAATTCATAGCGTTCTTTTCCATGGCAGAAAGAGACAGAAAGGTTAGTGACACACACGTGTTACAGTGACCCTGGGTGGAGCCCCAGAGAACACACATTCCAGAGGGAGGGCCAGGGTACCTGCACAGCGACCGCCCTGCTAAGCCACTACAGGAGGACGATGGAGAGGCAAGGCCCCCAGTCACCACAATCAGATGACTTATTTGAAAAAAAGCCTCATTACGAGGGACCCAAAGCTGTTCTACTTTTTCCATTGTAAGTTATTACAGTGTAATAAAACTTAGCTCTTCACCAAATCTTAGGCCAGTGTTTGTTTTTACTTGGATGGTTCTTAAATACAGATATTGACTTTTGTTGCCCTTAGTGCTCACATAAGAAATGAGTTCTTTGTAGAATATGTCTGATAACAGAGCCTGGACCAGCCAACACTTTGTCATGGTCAGCTCACGGCTGTATGCAACTGACAGTATCACTCACCATGGAATGTTTCATGGACTTGTTCATATCCCAGGGAAGCAAAGACTCCAAACTCCAAGTGCAAAGTTGAAGGAAATGTGAAAGTAGAGAGATGGCCAGAAACATTTGGTCATAAGGTGTAGAAGCCCCAACTAATCAGACTGTTCCACAAAGTTAGTTACTCTTCACGTAAACATTTGAAAAACAACTTACATGATGGCTTTTCCATTCCTACAGAAAACATCAGAACTGACATTCACTTTAACTTTCTAAAAAAGTTCAACCCGAACAGCAGGGTTGGTGTTTAAAACTTAAACAGTATAAAATATTTACAAAATATTATTTAAGCCCCCTCCCCTCCCATCCTTAGCACTTAATAAAATCCAAATGGCCTAATATGAAAGTTTCCCACACAACAGTTTAAAAAGCATCTACCCAATACGTGATTTTTAGGTTGGGTCATGATTGTTTTAAAGTTTTATTGTAGGCTTTGCTGCTGGATACAAAATAAAGGCATACAACTGTCACAAGTAGGGCAGGGTGTACAAAGTCTAAGCTGTAAAAAACATTTCAAAATATAAACTCGTTTTGTTCGAATACACTGTATCAAAGGCTGCCCGTATTAATACCTTTGGTATAAAATGGTAATGTTTCCCTTGAATAGCAGACAAAACCCATCCATACCTTACACACATCCGAATCTCCTTGGAACTACTCTACCAGCCTAGTCTCAACCACCCACATTCGTCACCACTCCCTCTGTGCGTCACGGGCGCGGAGACGGCGAGGTAGGTAACCGAGAACGTCCGTCCCACACGAGCGCCGTGCAGACAGCAGGGCTCCAGCGCGGGCCACCCAGGCACCATGGGCACACATCCTCATCCACAGTCGCACACGTCCCTTAAACAAACATGAACATGCACACTGACCGGACCCAAAAGGATCTGCACGTCCTCTCCGTCTACTCACCGATGGCCACTCCACACTGTGTAAGAATCAGAAATAGGAAGGGATCTCCAGGCGATGGCTGCGTTGACAGCAGGTGAGCCGTCCTGAGGCTGCTGGTGTGAGCAGTGGTCCTGTCTGGACGCCAGGAAAGAGTCTGGGGCCATGTTTAATTTCTTCTAAGCAAAGGGCAGGGCACCCGCTGGGGGCAGTAAGCCCCGCTTAATGGGGCATAAGGCCAAGGAGGAAGGAATGGAGCCCACCGGGCAGTGGTTTGTACGCTATGCCCGTAAGCAGGCCAGGCAGCCTTCCCGGAATGGAGTGGGTCAACAAGGAGGGCAGAGGAAGGGCCAGCTCTGCTCTCGGCCAGACCCTGCAGGGTCCCAACAAGCACCAGATCACAGATCAGCTGAAGGGGCAACAGGCCTGCCCCTTAAACAGAGCTGGGCATCCACAGCCACACTAGGAACAGCAGCTGAGAGGCAGGAACCCCCAGGTGGTATCTCCACTGCTAAGAGCTGTGGTTCTTCACCAACAAGCTCTAGGATCGATGCCCGAGGCGGGATGGGCTGTTCGCAAAGCCGTGGAGCCTGTGCCGGGCACAGGAATGGGGCCAGGGTGCTGGGGTGGAGTTAGGAAACACTGAGCTCGCAGACACCGCTGGTGACCACCGACTACAGGACCCGTTTTGGAGCTGACAAACTGAACCCTAGAGGAAAGGTGACCCAAGAAGCTCAAAGAGGCAGTCAACACCCACAGAAATAAATACTGCAGACAAGTTCTCACACACACACCACACCCACTCATCCTCTTCCTCCAGAACCAGGCAAGCCTGGCTCCAGTGCTTCTCGGAGTCTCAGGAAAGCAGAGACCTTGGACCCAGCTTGTTCACTAGCAGGGGTGTGTTCACCTGGGTAAAGACAATCCATTCACCTGGTCGAGAAATACCAAAATTGTCATCTGGCTTTTTATGCAGTCTCTCCGGACACGGGGGCAGCGGGAGGCCCGGGAGCTCTCGGGGTATCTGAGTGCACAGCAGGGAGGAGCAGGGCAGGTGGGGTGCAGTCGGGGCCCCTGCCCGCTCACTGGTGGAGGTGGGCCCGGTCGTCCGGGCGCTTGATGTGGATCCGCCGCACGCGCTCGATCCGCTCCCGCTCCCGCTCCTCGTCCTCGTCCAGGTGGTGGGAGCGTCCGGCCGCCCCACCCGTGGCCTCCAGGAGTGCGTTGTCGGGTCCCCGGCCATCCTGGGCCTCATACAGCAAAATATTCAGGGTCTCCTCATAGATCCGGGCTTCAGGGAACTCCACCTGTTGCGCCACAAAACACAAGGCAGGTACATTAGCATCTCAAACCCCCCACCCCGCCAGCTCCGCCGCCACCCAGGACTTCTGAGCAGGGCCATCTGTCTACACCAGGCCCCTAAGACTCCGTAAGACCGTCGTTATTATGTTTAAAGCAGCTTTTATTGTCCATACGCAACACTTACACATGGAGCTACATTCACAAGAGACAAAAGGGATACAGTGAAACAGATCTCCCTGCCCTCTCTGCCCCCTTTGGAAGTTTGCCTTCCTTTGGACATTTACGTCATTCCCAGTGTGTTGCTTCTAACAATCAGGGCTGCATCCTTGTACACGAGGCATTCCACACCTTAAAGCAGCGTCCTTTCTGAACAGGGACCAGCTGGGGGCCCTCATAAAGTGGACACAATCCCTCCCACTCAGTAAAGCGCTGTGTGCACTTACTGCCCTTTGGGGTCAGGCGCCACGAACTAGAGGTGGGTCCCAGGCAATCAGTAAGAACTGGTAAAGCACTTGAAATGTTCTGCCAGGGAAGATACTGATTACGCAAAAACCCAAGTGGAACATCTGTACAGTTACGGGAGACAACGAACCATGAGTGTCAGCTCCAAAGCACAGGTCCTGGAAGTGTGGGATGGAAGGAGAGGAAACTGTCCCTGAAGGGGCAGCCATCCCAACACCAACTCCCTGGAAAAAGGAAGGAGCCCTGAGGGACAAGAGGCAGAGCGAAGGGAGCCAGGAGAGGGGCTCTGGCCTCCATCCTGGCTCCACCATTAACCAGCTGCACGAACATGAGCACAGGCTCACTCTGGAACCCGTCCACGAATCTATACACAGTTGGGATCCGACCACGAGGTCTCTCAGTGCCTTTGCTCGCTGTTAAGCTCTAAAAACGTAAAGTCACTATTTTAAAGTTTAATCAATATGATGATTAGGTTTTTTTTTGTTTTTTTTTGCGGTACGCGGGCCTCTCACTGCTGCGGCCTTTCCCATTGCGGAGCACAGGCTCCGGACGTGCAGGCTCAGCGGCCATGGCTCACGGGCCCAGCCGCTCCGCGGCATGTGGGATCCTCCCGGACCGTGGCACGAACCCGTGTCCCCTGCATCGGCAGGCGGACTCTCAACCACTGCGCCACCAGGGAAGCCCTGATGATTAGTTTTTGAATATCCAAGGGCAGAAGCAATCCATGTATATAAAAAACCAAACTATGAAAAAATGGAGAGTCTAGTTACAGGTGGAATTCACAGCCCTAAAGAAAAGACGCACGTCTTATTAACATAGGAGTAAAAGTGAATAATTCTGGTCCCCCCACTATCTTTGAAAGGAAAAAAAAGAAACTCAGTGTTTTTCCCTTCCTGGCTACCTTACAATACATACCTTTTAGGATACATTCTAAAAAGACACAGGCTTGCTGAATGGATACAAAAACAAGACCTAGGGCTTCCCTGGTGGCACGGTGGTTGAGAATCCACCTGCCAATGAAGGGGACATGGGTTCAATCCCTGGTCCGGGAAGATCCCACATGCCGTGGAGCAACTAAGCCCACGAGCCATAACTACTGAGCCCGCATGCCACAACTACTGAAGCCCACGTGCCTAGAGCCCGTGCTCCGCAACAAGAGAAGCCACCACAATGAGAAGCCCGCGCACCGCAACCAAGAGTAGCCCCTGCTTGCTGCAACTAAAGAAAGCCTGAACGCAGCAACAAAGACTCAATGCAGCCAAAAATAAACACTCAAAAAAAACATGTACCCTTTTAAAAAAAAGAAAAAAGAAGTTAAAAAAAGATTTTTAACTCTGGTTTCTACTTTGTGGTCTGATTTTCTCTCATTTGCATTTTGCCTTTGAGGCTGCTCTAGCATCACACAGAGCTGTGGGCTCCTGGGACTGCAGTGAGGATAATAACCTGAGCAGGTGACCTACAGATCTGTATGAAGGTGACTAGAGGCATGACCTGCTGCATGTGTCTCTGGTCATCAGATTTCCCCAGATAGGTTGAAAAGGAAATGACACAGTGTATGGGATGATTAAAAAAAAAAAAAAAAAAAAAAGCACAATCAAGATGGCAGAATAGTAGGACATGAACCTTACCTTCTCCCACAAATACAGCAAAAATATATCTACATGTGGAATGATTCTCACAGAATATCTACTGAACACTGGCAGAAGACCTCAGACTGCTGAAAGGGCAAGAAAATCTCCACGAAACCGGGTAGGAAGAAAGAAAAAAAAAAAAGGAAAAGAAAAGAAAGTGAAAAGGGAATCGGGACAGGACCTGTGTCACTGGGAAGGAGCTGTGAAAAAGAGGAAAGATTCCTGCACCCTGGGAAGCCCCCTCACCGGCCGGGAGATGGGCCGGGACAGAAGGAGAGCTTGAGCCTCAGAGGAGAAAACAGCAGCTGGTTTGCGTCAGCCAAAGCAGACGGAGGACTACACAGTCAGTCAGTCAGTGCTGCCGCCCTGTACTCCCCAGCCTGATGCACGAGTCTGCCAGTGCTGGTGGGGGCTGGGTGCTGGAACTCGGGCTTCAGAGATCAGAACTGGGGAGAGGACTGGGGGTGGCATGTTGTGCAGACGGACCGAGGGGGCTGGAATCCAGTGTGACCACAGCTGGGGGTGTATGCAGGGGAAGCCTGGGCCACCTTAGAGGCCAGTCGCCATTGTTTGGGGGGGTGCATGAGTGGAGGGGTGGGATCTGCATTGAAGCCTTTTTCTCTGTGCGTGCACTTGCAGGGGGCAGGACACTACCTGCATGGGCTCCAGGAGCAGTCGCAGCGCCCCCCCCCACCCCCCACACCAGGAGTTGTTTCAGGCTACCACCACCTCCCTCCTGGACCCCAGGAGGGGTTGCAGGGCCCCCACCGCTGCCCGCCCAAACTCCAGGAGTGGCTGTGAGATGCCATCACGCCCATCGTGTGCTCTGGGGGTGTGCCTGAGCTGCCCGCCACCACCAAGAACCCAGGACTGGGCATCAGCCACTGCATCTGCACACCCCCATCGAGGGGATAACGACTAGCACACGCTGAAGAAAAAGGCCATGGGCATCCATACTAAAAAATGCCCTCACACCAAATATATTAAACTCACAAAAGCTACACAGGGATGACCCCACATATAAACAGCCCTCCAAGACCACAGTAGACAATTGTTTCTCCTAAACTCAAAAGAGAAATATGTAAAATGAAGAAGCAGAAGAACTACCCCCAGATAAAGGACCCCTGAAGGAACAAAGAGTGAAACAGACCCCTTCAGTTAATAGGCACTGATTTCAAAAAGAAGATAATGAAAATACCGAAGGAATTAAAGGCTATTGAAAGAAACGCAGAGTACTGTAAAAAGGAAGTAGAAACTATAAAGAGGAACCAAAAAAAATAGAAAACTCATTTGCAGAGACGAAGGCTGAGTTAAAGGCAATGAATAGCAGAATGAATAATGCAAATGAATAAGTGATCTGGAAGATAAAAGAATGGAAATCACCCAATCAGGACGGCAGATAGAAAGCCAAATGAAAAAAACCCGAAAGCAATCTAAGAGATCTGTGGGATGATATAAAGTGTGCCAACCTACGTAGAATAGGGAC